TTAGAGATTATTTCCAGTTTCAACAATAGGTTATTCACTGGTTTTGGAAATCTGCAGAGAAGAAACCACATGTTTTTAAATTAGCTAGCAAGTAAGAATTAAGGAAAGTTCTTTATAATTTATCAACTCTTCTTTTGCCATTTCACTTTTCATTCTTGCTTCATCCATAAGTCAACAAAAATTAATTTTGCTGACTTTGTAATTTTATTAATTGTGAATCACTTATTATTTATAGCTATACTTGTAGATTCTCACAAGTACCATAAATTGATTGAAGAGCAATATAAAATGAATTATAATTTATTTATCTTGGATCATTTGGTAGTCTCATTTTAGAGTAATACATATTGTCCAATATAAGTACAGAACAAATAAAGTGGCTAAGGGATTTCCACATAATTTTAGTAAATTATTCTTTTTTTTCTTTTCACGTAGGAAAGGTTTAAAGCTTTATGTGAAGAATGGAAAAACCTGCCCAGTCCTCAAAAGCAGGTACTATCATAAAACTGGTATTGATGCCAAGTTTAACCTGATATCTAAATTAGGAATCTATCATATTTAATTCTGCAGCCAAGCGTTTTAGAACATTGATAATTGAATGCCCTATTGTGAAAGGAGTTATTGTCTATTTCATAGCTCTAATTATTGGAAACAGATGTGTGTATGAACCTAGGGCTATTGATTTATTATGTCTGAATTATGATTTGTTTATCAGGTGAAAAAAGATCAGGAAGAATGTATTAGTAAAATGCTTAAATTTGCTCATTCATAAAGCAGCTCCTTGCATGAGATGAAATAAGCTATATCTCATGAAAGTTATGCCATTCCATAAAATTTGTTATTTGAAAAAGGTATACCAGACTCTTGGCTGTACTAAGAGTAACATGGCTGTCCTACTACAATTCATAGAGAACTCTAATTTCTTCTCTCCTCTGAACCAAATTATATATGTATACTAGTGCGCAGGTATGGTTGGATATCCGGTTTGAAATTCAGCATATGTCGTTCTCAACCTACAATCATTTTGTCAGCAATCATTCTAAGTTACAACACCATTGAACGAATGGTAGTTAGGACTGATCATCAGAGTTCCAGCCATCCAGCACCCCCACAGTCACATGATTTTGATTATGACTTATGATTGGTTCCAGTAATCACATGATTACCGTTTGCAACCTTCCCTAGAAAATCAGTGGGCAAACTAGCATAGAAGGTCACAAGTTGCTGAGATAAGTCTCCCTACCCTGTACACCTTTTCTCGGCCCCTCTGTGCTTTGGGTGAACTGTGGCCTCTTACGCATACTCCTGCGCTCTTCCTCCCTCCCTCCCTCGCCCGACAGCAACCAGTTACCTGCCTGCTGACATGGGGCTTGCCACTTCCTGCCAACTTCCCCACTGACTTTGGCTGTGGAAAGCCAGCAAGAAGTTGTCTTACCTAACAATCATTGGGTTCAGTTTACAACCACTTCACTTAGCGATGGAAATTCCAGTTTCGCTTGCCTTTGTAAGTCAGGTACTACTTGTACCGCAGACTTTAGTTTTCCTCCAAATAACTGGAGAAGCGGGTTCAATAATTTCAGGCTGAGACCTGAGACTGAAGGGAATCAGATTTTCCTATTACTTAAAAAATACAATTATAAGGCCTCGTTTTACTGATTATTAAATAATACACGTAGCTATTTAAAAGGAACTCTTATGTGACCATTAAATTCATCAACAAATTCTTCACCATGCCTGCTTTGTGCATACATACAGTACTTTTTAAAATTCAAGCAGTATTTTAATGATAGACATTGCAAAATTCAATAATATTGAAAAGCTGAAACAATATTTGTAGTTTTAACAACATCTCAGTTCCGGTATATAAATTTTAGGTTAATAATATGAGCAAATTTGCCTTAAGGTTTATTATTTTCACCTTAAGATACTGATTAAAGCATACTGCCATACTGCCAGATATGAAGGCTTATCTTGTCTGTTTCAAACAGAAAAAGGATCATAGCTAACCAAGCTCTGATTTCCTCCCCATTCATAGGAATTTGCATGATTTGTATAAACAGCTCCTATATAATGTTAAATCCTGTGAAACTTTACAGATGGCTGAGGTTTTGCAGAGAAATGCTTCATTTGTTGTGTGACAGTTTGTGCAGAGAAATTCACTAGTTTTGGAATCCCATTTCATTGTAACTGTTTCATATATGAAGCTAAACCATAATGAGATTCATTTGATTTTGGTTTAGAGTGTTATGCAGGCCAAGCCTGTATAAAGGTTTATAAAGGTTTATAAATTGTGGTTTATACCTTTGCACAATTCATATGAATTGCTTTCAATTTGGGATTAATCAAAATGCGGTTAAAGATTGTGACTTAATACATGTGACTAGCTCATACTATTTTACAGGTCTACACCCAGCTTGCAGAAGATGATAAGATTCGCTTCGAAAATGAAATGAGATCATGGGAACAGCAAATGAAAGCAAGTGGGCGTGGAGATGTTCTAAATTATAAATTCAAATTGACGCGAAAACGAAAAAAACCTGAAACAGAACCTTTAAGCTGAAAATAAATATTTGAAAAGCAATATTGTTTCATCAGCAAAAAAGAAAACCAGTGCAAGAGTAAAGCCATCTGAGGAATAAGTTTAAAAATATCTTACTTGTTATTCCTGACTGCAAGTGAAAATCATTTGTCATTTATTGAGGGTTATTCCCCATAAATACAAGTATTTTACTTTTTTTGTAAACAGTCAAGCGTTTGTAATCAAGTTTGTGGAAATTTAAGTGATCGCTAATCATGAGAAAGGTTGTATTTTTTTTTAAATGTCTAAATAACTATTGGACAGATTTTTTTTAATTAAAACACCTTGAAGTACAAACCTGTGTCTTGTGATTTATAAGAATTTAATTGAAATATTTATTGCAGTGAAATATTTATTACAGTAATTTAGTGGGGAAATAATATATGAGAAAGCATATATATATATATATATATAACAAATTTCAATCATGTAGTTTAACCATTAGTCCACAAATTTTCAGTAGTATTTTGAAGATGCATTTTAATGTGTGTCTAATAACAGCACATATGTATATACACATAAAGCAATTGCAAAAAATAATGGAACTATAATAAGGTTTATGCAAAATATATTAGTATTGTTGTTTAGATCTGACAGAGTGATTAGTACTGCAATAGCACTTAACACTTAGACATATATATCGCTTCACAGTGCTTTACAGCCCTCTCTATGCGGTTACAGTCAGCATATTGCCCCCAGCAATCTGGGTCCTCATTTTACCCCCCACGGAAGGATGGAAGGCAGAGTCAACCTTGAACCTGGTGAGATTAGAAGTGCCAAACTGCTGGCAGCCGGTGATCAGCAGAAATACAGTACTGCATTCTAACTACTGTGCCACCACTGCTCTTGTGTCATAACTTGTGTCAGCAGAATGAATCCTAATATATTTCTTCCACTCCAGAATTTTGGAGTCGCAACAGATTTGAGATTTGGGCTGTTAGGAGAGGGAAAGAAATTCCAATGAATAGAATGAAGGAACATACAACTTGAATGTTGCTGATAGGCCTCTGCCCAACTAGGTGGAAACAATAGTGTACAGTAGGGGTGTCAAGGCCCATGGGCCGAGTCCAGCCTGTAGGGTGCTTAAATCTGGCCCACAGGACTAGCCTGGAAATAGCAAAGGACCGGCCCATGGTGCCTCTGGCAGCCAAAGCGGCGTGAAACTTTACTGATTTTCTTTCCAAGATACCTATTTTACTGGGATTTTTTTCACTATTGCACTATTTTCCATCATTGGAGGTAGAGGGTTTCATCCCAGCTTTCAAACTGCTCAAACAAGGACTGCAACATTTTAGTGCTGTAGACCAGTGGTGTCAAACTGGATTTCTTCAAGGGCCGGATCAGCATTGTAGGGTGCTGTGGGCTGGCCAGGGGGGTGACGGGATGGACGCCTGCTGGCCAAAATGGGACGGGGGCGGGCTCATAAAATAGGTATCTTGGAAAGAAAATCAGTAAAAGGTTTCACATTTGTGATGTCTGGTGTGTCAAGAAACCAGTATATTTTAATATTTACTTTATTAATATATAGACCAGTGGACAGTAAATATTTGTACATGAGCAAACCAGCAATTGTCAATGACAGCAGAAATACTCCAGGGTGCCCAGGTAGAGTTTGAGAGAGAGCTAGAATTAGGTTGCATCACTATACAATCTTGGTTGTGGAAAACTAGGATACAGAAAGGAACCCCTCCCCCATATGATTCTGGACCACTGCTATTTCGGGGGTGGGGGTGAGCTTGAAGGAGAAGGATGTTGAAGCGGAGTTTCCAAGAGACTGAAATCCAAGCCATAAGTGATTAGTCAAAGTTGATGGCTGCAGCCCTAGTCACCCTGATTCAGACAAACTTTCGCTTGGATTCAGAGTCTCTGATTTGCCTACTCTGCTCTGAATGAAGATTGTTGAACTTAATAACAGAACATATATAACATATAAAATAACATATTGTATGTTATTTTAATTTTCGGCTGTTCACCGCCCTGAGTCCCTTCGGGGAGAAGGGCGGGATATATATATATATACACACACACACACACACTCATATATACACACACACACACACACACACACACATATATATACATATACATATATATATATATACATATATACATACATATATATATATATACATATATACATATATATATATATGTATGTATATATATATATATGAATAAATAAATAAATAACAGAAACGGTTGGGGTTGGGGGGGTACGTCGGTCGTAAGTCGAGGACTACCTGTAGCTAGCGCGCACGCGCGCCTCTACCTATTTCCCTATCTCTACGCGTTCACGCTCACCCGGGTCCTTCGGTATCCTTGACTCCCTTTTGTTTGCGACATCTTCTGACCCGCGCCGTAAAATAAAAGGTGGGGGCGGGGGCGGGGGCGGGGGAAGACCACGACCGGCGGGAAAGCCCGGCGCGTGCGCGCTGCGGGGCGGCATTCGCGCGTGCGCACAAGCGACTGCGGGGGGGGGTCTGTTCCGCGGGAAAAAAACCAAACAAACCACCTAATAACAACAACAACAACAACAAGAAGAAGATGGGTTTGCTGGAGCTGTGCCAGGAGGAATTCGGTGCGGGCGACCTGTACCAGGTGCTGGGCGTGAGGCCTGAGGCGTCGGCCAATGAGATCCGCCGGGGATACCACAGGGTCTCCCTCCGGGTGCATCCGGACCGGGCTGAGCCAGCTGATAAGGAGCGCTCCACCCGGCATTTCCAGGTAGAGCCGAGCTCCCGGGCGGGGGGGGGCGGTTTATTTTCCCCATTGAGCCCCTGGACCGCGGAGGGGAGGTTGGGGGGGGAGAAGTTACTTTGGACCAGTAGGAGGATGGGAGACCACCAGGAAACCCTAGACTGGGAAGTTAAACAAAACAAAACACACACGCGCCTATCTTGGAAGAAGCAGGGGCAAATTTGCCTTGAAGAAAGCCGCAAGGATGGCTTGAAGTTGGACTCCTCTTTTAAAAGAGGTGACAAGCCTTGGTTAAACCTCAATGAAAGCTAACCTGGGACGGACCTGGTGCTTAAGTGAAGGAGACTGGATTGGAAAGTTAACACTTCTTCCCGTTCTGTGGTTGAGGATATTTTTTGGGGGGGGGGGGGGGGGGAAGGCAGGTGTAAAATACAAGAAAACCCATGTTAGTTAGTTATCCAGGGCAACAGTACTACAAAACCCATATTGGCGAGGATCGCAAAGGCCATACTGCGCGGCCCTCCATGCACCTCTTAGCCTGAGTCAGGGTGGATAAAAATCAATGATTTTTTTTAAAAAAATCAAAAAAATCAGATTTTTTTTATTTAAATCGGATTTTTTTGATTTAAATTGGATTTTTTTGATTTTTATCGAATTTATTTTAATAAAAAACTTTTGGGGTAAAAATCTATCGTAAGACAGTTTTCTATTTAAGATACATAAATAATTTAGTTTATTCAGCATGAAATGGAGCTTAGTTATGTAGCATGAGGCTGTATATTCTGCAACACTGGGACTATCGGTGAGTCAACAGTGGGTCAAAGGAGTAGCAGAGATGACAGTTGCTCTTTAAAAATTATGATTTAAATCGAGTTGATTTAAATCAAGCCTTTTTACTAGTGATTTAAATCATGATTTAAATTGTGATTTAAATCAACTCGATTTAAATCAAATACACCCTGGCCTGAGTACAGAGAAAACTAGCAAGTGGAAACGTTTCCAGTCATTGCATCTTCGGGGAGTAGCCAGAAAGAGGACACCCATTACAAATAACAATGGAGAGAATATAAATAATGGAGGTGTAAGCTAGTGTGGCAATCAGCCTGGGTTGAGATTCTGGAGGGGTCACTATAAACTTTAAACTGACATTCTCTGGCTAGCTTTTGGCTTGATGTAACCTCCCAGGTTCAATTACGTGGTGGCTCGGTGGCTAAGACTTTGAGCTTGTCGATCGAAAGGTCGACAGTTCAGCAGTTCGAATCCCTAGCGCCGCGCAACGGGGTGAGCTCCCATTACCTGTCCCAGCTTCTGCCAATCTAGCAGTTCGAAAGCACATAAAAAATGCAAGTAGAAAAATAGGGACCACCTTTGGTGGGAAGGTAACAGCGTTCTGTGCGCCTTTGGCGTTTAGTCATGCCAGCCACATGACCGCGGAGATGTCTTTGGACAGCGTTGTCTCTTCAGCTTTGAAACAGAGATGAGCACCGCCCCCTAGAGTCGGGAACAACTAGTCCATATGTGCAAGGGGAACCTTTACCTTTAACCTCCCAGGGCTGGGGGAATGGCGGTGAGGGGGAGGGAAAAAAGTGGAGATGGGACTCCAGCCTCTTTGTGTCAATCCAGGCTTGTGGCATAAAAGAGGTGGGCGGAAGCATCCCAGATAATGCTCAGATTTGTGGTGGAGTATTCTCAGACCCATAAAAGCCTTCTAATTTGAATTATTTGAAAAGGAAGCATGTCCTCTGCGGTTTCTGGCCTGCCAATTCCCATGAGTTAATTTTAAAGACAAAAGTTTTGGGAACTTGGCTTGCATCCTGTTTTGGACTTATTAGAATTATTAGTATAGTCTTATTAGTATCAGTACCTCTGGTTAAGAACTACTGTGCTATAATGATATGCAGGGCTCTGCCCAGTGGTGAAATCCAATTTTTTTTACTACCGGTTCTGTAAAATGGTACAGAAAAATGTGACTTATGATTGGTTTTTCAGTTACATCCTGATGGTCATGTAATGAAAATTCAGGTGCTTGGCAACTGGTTCATATTTATGACCGTTGATGTGTCCCAAGGTCATGTGATCCCCTTTTGTGATTTTCGGTCAGTGGGGAAGCCAGTTTCACTGAACAACCGCATTGCTCACTTATCAACTGCAGTGATTCACTTAAAAACTGTGGCAAGAAAGGTCATAAAACAGGGCAAAGCTCACTTAACAAATGTTTCACTTAACAACAGAAATTTTGGGCTCAATTGTAAGTCGAGGACTACCTGTATTACCATCCTGTGGTTTTGAGGTGTGGCTTTGAATTGTAGGCTGCTTAGAGTTAAATGAAGCAACATAAATGTGCTTACAGTAAATAAATTAAATTGTTGTTTTTTATAAAAAGCTTATACATCTAAAGAACAAACCATCCATATATTTTGAAGATTCAATTGTTTTGTTTTAAAAAGAGTTTAAAAGCTATTACTTTAAATTCTGCTTACTTAGGTAAAGGTAAAGGTTCCCCTCACACATATATGCTAGTCGTTCCCGACTCTAGGGGGCAGTGCTCATCTCCGTTTCTAAGCCGAAGAGCCAGCACTGTCTGAAGACGTCTCCGTGGTCATATGGCCAACATGACTAAACGCCAAAGATGCACGGAACGCTGTTACCTTCCCACCAAAAGTGGTCCCTATTTTTCTACTTGCATTTTTTACTTGCTTTCGAACTGCTAGGTTGGCAGAAGCTGGGACAAGTAACGGGAGCTCACCCCGTTACGTGGCACTAAGGATTCGAACCGCTGAACTCCCGACCTTTCAATCGACAAGCTCAGCTCTTAGCCACTGAGCCACCGTGTTCCTCACTCTGCTTACTTAGAGTGGCCCAATTACAAATCGATAAGTCTTCAGTAGTAGATTTATTATTAGAAAGAATTATGATAATGTAACATTCTTTATCCTAAAATAGGGAAGAGGCAAGAGGAAGGGAGCAGGCCATTTATTGAATTATTGAGGTTTGTCTGTATTCTCCTAGATCCTGGGTAAGGTTTATAAAATACTAAGTGATGAGGAACAGCGGGCGCTGTATGATCAACAAGGGATCGTGAATGAGGAATCATCTGTATTGACTGAAGATTGTAACTGGGAAGCATACTGGAGATTGCTGTTCAAAAAAGTGGGTTGTTTTTTTTTTTTTTTTACTGTATACTAACTATATAATTGAATTGCCAGAATTAGTATTTCCAGGATAACATTTTGTATATATTATAATTGAGTACGTTTTGTATAATACATCATTTTATCATGGACTTTTATCATAGCTAAAGCCAATTGCCAGGGTTCTTTTTTATAGAATAGAATAGAATAGAATAGAATAGAATAGAATAGAATAGAATAGAATAGAATAAGTGTGATTGGACACACAAGGAATTTGTCTTGGTGCATATGCTCCCAGTGTACATAAAAGAAAAGTTCATTAAGAATCATAAGGTACAACACTTAATGATAGTCATAGGGTACAAATAAGCAATCGAATCATATTAGGAAACAGTCAATATAAATCGTAAGAATACAATTACTTCATTGTTCCCGACATGGGCAGCAAACAAGTTGAATAAAGAAGGCTTAGTAAAAGCTATAATTAAAGAGAAGCAGTTCTGATAATTCTGGAATTTTATATAAATGGCAGAAATTATTAATTTTTAAATCCATTTTTGCCAAAATACAAGTAGCTTGTACTTTTTTACTCTGAGCCCTAAAAATCCTGAAGTTACTAATGAACATGGGCCTTTCATGTGAACTTCCCAGACTTAGAACTCTAGAATCTCCAAATAGAACAGGAAAATATTCAGCTCAAAGCTCACAGGAGCTGCTGCCAAGCAGTGATTACACTGCTGAACTAGGTAAGTTGCTGATTTTACTTAAATTGAGACCGTCTAGACTCGTCTAGGACCGTCTAGACGGTCCTAGACTCCACATACAGAATACCTTCTTATTTCATAAAATTTGGTTCAGATGAGCTTGAATGATTGGAAAAGAAAAATCTTTTTAAATAACAGTGAATGTAGAACTTAGAAAGTATTTCTAACTTGAGCTTGTTAAAAAAAGTGTTTTAATTTTTTTTTAATCAATTAGATAACTGTAAAAGATATTAAAGATTTTGAAAAGAAATACAAACATTCCGCAGAAGAGCTGGAGGACATTAAAGCCGCATATGAAGACTTTAAAGGCGATATGGACAAAATCATGGAGTCTGTGCTATGTCTTGATTATACAGATGAACCAAGAATAAAACAGATTATTCAACATGCTATTGATTCTGGAGAACTTCCATCTTATAAATCCTTTGTAAATGACTCTAAGAGAAAGAGAAATGCAAGAAAAAGGAGGGTATGTTTAACCGGTGATAAGATTTATTAATAAAGATTGTAACACTAAATATTATTATCTTTATATTATAATCCTCATGTTTTTAAATCAAGGTGGAATTGTTGAAAGTGACTAATCCCCTTATCTTTTGTATTATCTTACATTAGTGACTTTTTAGAAAAGTGTTTCTAAAGCTATGAATATAATAAATCTAAAGTTAGTAGTCAATGACATGTACAGAATATACATATGTGTTTAATTGAAGATTACTAAAACAGTTATTAAGGTTTTGGATTTATTCCTGGGGATTCACTTTATCGTAAATTCATGTGTGGCTTTGGCCAGTTTGACTCAAAGGATGGTTGCTGTGGGAATATTTCCTTAAATGCTAAATAAATTGCAGTTGGTGATTTGGGTTAGGAAAGAAATGGATAATTCATTTCAGTATTGTTGCTGTTTCAGGCAGAAAAGGAAGCTAAAGAGGCAGAAGAATTGGGAGAACAAATGGGACTTGGTGAAGGAGATGATGATCTGAAAGTATTAATTCAAGTAAGGTTATGAAAAGACGCTTAAAGATCATTGGGGAAAAAATCATTTCTAAACTGATTAAAGAGTCAGTTTAATCTCACTCTTTAATCTGGGAATCTGTTTCTGATCTGTGTAGCATATTTAATTAACAGGCATCTTGATAACAGCTCATGGATGCTATTGTTTCTTCCTTTATCATTTTTAAACAGTAGTTTTAATTTTTTCAGCAACCTTATTTTAAATCTGTACATTTTAAATACTTTTAACGTAGATGCTATTGTACAGTTTCTGAATTATTTTGATAAAATGTACACCCTCATGTAATGACCCCAATCTGTTCAATTAATTTTGTCATTAAGCAGAATGGTAGCTAAACTAATCCGTGACTAAGAGAGATACTACAAAGATTGCTGGTTGCTGCCGTCTCATTCAGATAAAGTTCTCTAATGCAGGATTGTCAAACTGGCAGTCTTCACAGGCCATGCCCACCCTGGCTCCGCAGAGGCAAAAAACCATCGTGATACGTCACAATATGGCCTGCGATGTGAGCGGGTTTGACACGCCTGCTCTAGTGCATTATGCCAGCGTTGCTCTCACTCATAGAGTATATTCTCAGGTGCAAAAATTTAGTGTAAGTGTGCATTACTAAGAAAAAAAAAATTACTACCATTTATTACCATATTTGCAAATGGTCACTACCTGAGGTAGTTGCTAAATGAGAAGCTGTAATTCTTTTTATAATAGAAGCTAATATTTTCCATTTTTAACCAGCTTGTTTTCATCCCATTTAACAGAGCAGAATGGATAGTAGAAAAAAAGAAATGGAAGATTTTGTGGCTCAGATGGAAGCAAAGTATGCTAACGTATCCAAAAAAGGAAGAAAGAAAGCAACTGCTAAAAAATGACTGGTTTCATAAATGATCTTCATTTATCCCTAATTTGCAGCACACTTTCAGCAATTACTTGATGTGAAAGAAAAAACACAGCAGGGTTTTTGATACAATTAGCAAATTTCCAGCAAAATAGCTGTGAACGTTTTGGAGGAACGGAAAACTTGATCAAAACCTTACTATACTATATTTCTATAAAATAATATTGTTCGTCTGTTAAGTTGAATGTAAAACCTTTAAAAAAATTTTTTAAAAAGAGTAAATTGTTAAACTTAAATGTGTTTTCAGAAGTGTATCAGAAATACTATAAATGAAACTTACAGGTATTTGGAAACACTTTGAAATGACGTTAAGTTAATTTTTCATAGGTACAATAGGTAAACTATTATCGGGACAGTGCCTTCAGTCCAAAATGATGATAGTTCATATGCATCCATAAAGACTATATTGTAAACATTTCTAACAACTCTACAAGTAATTTTAACAGTGCTGCATGAACTGAAATCTTTATTGGTGTTAATGCAGCGAGATTGAGATCTGGAAGAGAAAGTTTCTTAAAAACAATTATGAAATTGTATCAATATTTGTGAGGGTTTGAATTCTCTGGATATGTCTGACGTAAAAGGGGGTGAGGATCAGTCTTTGAATATCTTACCCCTCAAATTCCATTCTGGAAAAGATGCTGGCTGTGGCAAAACCCATATCCAACCATTTTGACAGGCTCAAACCCAGGCTGGCCGAGATGGGGAAAGTAATACTTGTCTTTCTAATCATATCTCTTCCAATATCTCTTACAAGCATAAAACAAAAATATGCCCAGTCAATACAAATGTGGCAAAACTCTTACTGTAAGATCCGAGAGTCGGCAGGTTGAGAGCAATATAGGAATGACAACTGTTGTAAAAGCAAAAACAATGCACTGGAAGATTGCATAATTAACAGGTCAGCTACTCAAATTGCAATTCCAGTATTTTCCGAGCATAAAAATTAATCTGATTTTGAACAGAATTATTTCTTATGGCTACCTAATCTAATAGACTGGCATCAGTCTGCAGCATGCTAGAAACTGGACCATGAAAACAAGCGAAGCCCCATTCGTGGGATGTAAGAATGGGTCCCTGATGCCCAAAGGGTTGGGGGGGGGAGGCTGTAATAGATTCTGGATGACCTACAACAGGGGTCCCCAACCCCAGGTTAGTGGACCAGCACCAGTCTACGGCATGCCAGAAACCAGGCCGTGCGAACAAGCAAAGCCCAAAAGGTTGCGGCTTGCTGACCTACAATATCAGAATATATAATACAATCTCAGAACATATAATGGAAGCAAAAGTAACAGCTCAGACTAAAACAAATAATCATAACAATGAACACCCCAGTCCTGAGAACATTAGCTATGGAGAGGAAAACAAGGGTTATGTGCACAGACCCATGTGACTTGGATTCCCAGGGCTGTAATCCATTTGAGCGCATTACTGATTTTCAGTGGCAAAATTTCCTAACCATTGAGAGATGGCACAAAAGCAGACGATATATTCCAAAAGCATCGGCATTTCTTCCATTTCTTGAGAGTAAGTATCTGCCTTCGTGGTATTCCTCAACCAGATGCATCATTTCCCCTATCCATTTGGTTTTTAGCTAAATTCATAGGTAGCAAAAGGCTTATGGCTTCTTCATTGTATGAAACCTAATTTTATCTTTCTCATAAAGCTACAATTGAAAAAGTGGCCTTCCTGGGGGGAAAAAAAAACATTTCTTGATAGGAAAGGCAACACTGCTTTAACATGTCATTCAGGCAGTTTATTCTTCCTAAGCAGCACATATTTTTGCATGCCTGCTTTGTGGAGGAGTGAAGGAAACCAATATGCACAGGAAAAGTAAGCCAGTTTAGGGATCAAAATCAGAAAGATTGCTAATGAGAACTTGGTAAAACCCAAAAGGCATTACTGCTAATTAAAGTGGGTCTATGACCAATTTTTCCTGTTGATGGAGCCTCCAAAACTCCATAACACCCCGTTTTTGCCCATAGCATTTTCTAATAGAGGAGGAAACAGTCTGGTTATTTGCTGTAGAACATTAATCAAACTTACTGTGTTGTTATTGTTCAGTAAAACTGGATTTCTTCAGAAGATCTGAATCAGCAGGCTAATCCTGCTGCTTGATTGTATGGAAGGCGCAATACCAACAAATGAAAATGCCCTGATGGCTGAAGCAGAAAATTAAGACAATATTGATGTTATTAAAAGCAACTCCACTTACCAACTCCAAGAGCAGCAAGTATTCTTTAGCCACTTTCATATGTAACATTACATCAGAGAGACGAGTATATTTGAGGAGTTGCCTCTTCCCAATCACATCCGCTCATCCAATCAAGTCCAGCAGGAAGGGCATGTTGGGACCTCATCCACAAAGGAATGTCATCTGATGTGTCCCAAGAGGAGAGCCTTTTCTGCTGTGGCACCTGTCTTTGGAACATCACTGCCCCAGAGGTCAGATTGGCCCCAACCTCGCCAGTCTGGTGACGTGTCTGGAATTTACAAAGTGGCTGTATTGCTAGGAAAATTGAGTGTGCTTGCTTGTAAATTATGGTTTTTTAAATAGTTTTTAAAGCTTTTAATTACTTTCGTTACAATTTCTGGCTATTGTGTTGTATTCAGGGGTGGGTTCTACTTAACCTTTACTACCGGTTCGCAACAGGATCACACGCGGACTCGCTTCGCTCATGCACGCGCCTTGCTTCTGCACAGAAGCTTCTGCGCATGCGCACATCGCCTGATGACATCTGGGGCGGTGGGCGGGGCCTCCCGCCGGTTTTACTACCTGTTCTTGCAAACCGGGGGCAACCCACCACTGGTTGTATTGTTTTGTGCTTTTTAACTTTAAGCTGCTGAGTGTCACATACATGAGTGGCTCTATAAGTTTAGCAAATAAATAAATACTAACTTTTCTGAGTGATCTGACCCAGAGATTCTCAGCCTACCGTGTTACACAGGATTGCCTTGAAGTTAAAACTACATAGCATACTTACCCTCCTTTGAGTTCTTTGGTGGAAAAAAAAATAGAATGAAAAATTTTAAAAGTATTCTGGAAATTCATTTTTCCATTTCCAATTTCTACCACTTTTAAATCCAGGAGGTAGGCCCCAACCCTGATATTTAATTTCAACTCAAATACAGTCTAGAAAATGCTTTTATTTGCATACAAAATAGTCTTCATTTTACAACGTAATAAGACTCTTTCCCTATCTTGTTCCTTTTACATCTCACATGGTATCGGGGAAAATGTAAAGTTACCTTTATTTTATACATAGCTTCAGCAGTTAATGGCTCGCATTTACTAGTTCATCACACTAGTTAGCCTTTATTGAATTATATTAAAATTATGTTAGACATTAAACACAATATTCAGGTTGCTATGTTTTTATCTATTTCTAAATTAATACCTCACCGGGCTTGTCTCCTACAAAAGGTAGAAAGTATTCTGTCTTCCCAATGAGAAAACCCGTTAACTGTTAAATCTGAGTACATGGTGAAAAAGTTTCTTAAAATTTTTCATTTACTTAAAAAGGATATTATGTATTTACTACAGTCGAAGAATACACAACTAAAGCGGTGCTTTACAATCTTAGCCAAAGTTAGCATCGTTAAAAAGTGATTAAACATGTATGGATTTAATTGGGAAATAATAGTATCCTGCATTTAAATACATAAATGAATTCAAATATACTATGTTTAATCCTGGTCACCTTTCAAATGCCACCTTTTTTCGAAATACATGAACTAGCAATGACAACCTTCAACTGTTTAAACATTTAGGGAAACTATTGGAGGTGCAGGCCAAGCAATAATCAAATTTAATTATCATAATAAATAATATTGCTAAACATATTGCTATTAAGTATCAGTAACTAGCAAGTCTTTGAATCGTAACCAGTATTGCCACTGCATTCTTCAGCCAGACATACCAACAGCATGATAGCAGAGTTCCACAGGACGCAAACTTTTAGTGCTCCATCAAAAAAGAGGGCGACAGTTTCTGCTGGCACAAAATTCTCATACAGCCACGTAGTCTTTGGCAGTTATTATACAAAAATAAGACTGAAAAAAAATTCAAATTCTTCTGTAAACGGATTTGATATTGCTGTTGTTGAATACGGCTTCTAAAAGCTTCAGTAGATTCTCCTTCCTCTTGGAGATGCGATGGCTTACAATCCCTGTTTACTTCGTGATCCAGCTCGGCTGTGAGTTCCTACAGAACCATATAACTGAAGACCTACTAAGCAAGAATGAGATAAAGGCTTGAAAGCAACTAAACAATTCCAGTCTACTTTTGTTACCTGTAAAAAAACATCATCATTGCCTGCAAGACATCGAGACAATAAACCTGTTGTACATTTTTCAAGCGTGCATCTGTATCAACCTTCGGCACAAGGGCACTGTTCTGATCCAGCTCTCCAAACACGACAAACCCTCTGAAGTTAACTCAAAGATTACTTTATTAGGACCGGCAGCAGTTCCTGGAAAAAGTCTCTCTCTCAACGCAGGCTAACAAGTCCATCCAGCCAGAAAATGAATAGTTATCTGCAGGGTGGATTTGATTTAAATCGAGTTGATTTAAATCACAATTTAAATCATGATTTAAATCACTAGTAAAAAGGCTTGATTTAAATCAACTCGATTTAAATCATAATTTTTAAAGCGCAACTGTCATCTCTACTACTCCTTTGACCCACTGTTGACTCACCGATAGTCCCAGTGTTGCAGAATATACAGCCTCATGCTACATAACTAAGCTCCTTTTCATGCTGAATAAACTAAATTATTTATATATCTTAAATAGAAAACTATCTTACGATAGATTTTTACCCCAAAAGTTTTTTATTAAAATAAATCCGATAAAAATCAAAAAAGTCCGATTTAAATAAAAAAAAATCTGATTTTTTTTAAAAAAATCATTGATTTTTATCCACCCTGGTTATCTGCTACATCTATTCATCTCCTCCCCCTAACTTTTATCCCCAGAGCTAGAGTGGGGCTTCACTAGCAGCGGTGGCTTTTCCTTCCCAAGGATCGGCCCATGGATTTCCACTACTCTCCTCTCCTCTGCCTTCTGCGCATCTGCCCATCAGGCACTGGACCCAGCTGTTCCTCCTCTTTCTCATCAGCCACCTCCAGACCTGGGGGCTGTTGAGTCTCCATCTGAGGGCTGACGGATGGCTCAGGCTCTGCTGTCTCTCTCTGCCAGCTCCATTCCCTCTTCCCCCTCAGAGCTCTCAGGTTGCCTGGATGCTGACCCTGAGTCCCACACCCCCTCCTCCTCTGATCTGGCTGTTGGAGGGGCTGGCGGCTGACAGGCCACAACAGGCACATCTTCTGTGAACCAAGTTTCTCTGCAAAACTTTGTTAAGAATTAAAACCAGAACTAGTTGTGATTGAATAAGAATTGTTTCAGTTATTAAGGTTCCAGCGACTGAGCTAAGTCTACTTGTCACCTGTCTGCAGTTTTTATTCTTATGTGGCATATAACATAACCCAGCAGGATAGATTACAACTTGTCTTTTTGAAATCACTGTGACACAATCTGGCGGCTACCCTCTTTTTGTTAAACTGACTGAATAAACTGAACGGGAACAAACCCTGAAGTGTATCCTGAACGAGATTTAAAATGTTATTCTGGCTTAAGAATTAAACTTTAAGCAAAAAACGACAAAACACATTTCAAAAAAAGATGCCAAATTTTTTTTATAGCTTGCAACCAAACAGATGACGTACATTCTCAAATCGGTTCCTTTACTTCTTACCCAGAGGGGGATGATCATTATCTTCCTCATCTTCATCAAGAAAATGACCAAGAGGCTGGTGGTGGAAAGAATTAATATAGGAAGAGCTAGATATCCCTAAACTGGTTCCCATGACACCTACGTTGACAGGATCTGCAGAATAATAAAGATTCCAGTGTTGAAGTCGCTTTGTGTTGCTCACTCTACATGAAGCAGTCATTTTTAAAAAGTGTTCAATTATCAACGTACCTGTACCAGCAGATCCTTTATTGTTTCGTGGCTGATTAGCATAATCAATAACAGTGCAAGAACGACGGTATTGTGATTCTGCCTAAAGGGTTCAAATCAAATTATTGCATCAGGTCCTGGATCAAATCATATACATCCAAAATATTCAGCAGAACGTTCATGGTTGCAACCCATCCTAAATGCATATAGTATACACCAGGGGTGTCAAATTCAAGACCTGCGGGCAACATCCGGCCCACGGGGTGTTTAGATCTAGCCCGCAGGGCCGCCCTGGAAACAACAAAGGACAGCGTGCGGCCCTCCTGAACTCCATTTTCGCTGGCAGAGGGTTGCAGGAGACCGTCACAGACGAAAACAGAGCTTGGGAGTCCATTTTTGCTAGCAGAGCTCTCGGGCTGCCACAGGCGCCCCCGACACAAGTGATGTTGAGCTGGCCACGCCCACCCCGGCCCCTTGAGGTCAAACACAACCCTGATGCGGCCCTCAATGAAATTTAGAGTGGCACCCCTGGTATAGACCAAAGTAGGTCTCCAGGTTACTCTCTGAAGGGAACACATACTGGTATTTCTTCGGATGCAAACAAATCTCTCTGCTTGATGTTTTCCTGTTAAAGGAACTTTTCCTGTTAAAGTTGCATGCAGAGATATACAGGTAGTCCTCTACAAACAACAGTTCATTTAGTGACTGTTCGAAATTACAACGGCACTGAAAAAAGTAACTTATGACCATTTTTTTCACACTTATGACTGCTGTAGCATCCCAGTGGTCGCATGATCAAAATGCAGACACCTGGACACAACTGACTCATATCTATAATGGTTGCGGTATCCCAGGGTCCTGTGATCACCTTTTGAGACCTTCTGACAAGCAAGTTCAATGGGGAAGCCGGATTCACTCAACAACTAAGTGGCTAACGTAACACCTGCAGCAATTCGCTTAACAACTGCGGCAAGGAAAGTCGTAGAATGTGGCGAAACTCACTTAAGAAATATCTCACTTAGCAACAGGAATTTGGGGCTCAATTGTGGTCGTAAGTTGAGGACAGCCTATACTTGCTTTATATATTGCCCATATTCCCCCTTCAGTCCTCAAAACAACCTGTACACCTTGGCAATTTCCTGAGAGGTGTCCAAAAGAAGGAACTCTGTACAACATTCTAGTACAAGTGGAATTTTGTTACACCTTACCCAAAATGCATGCGATGTATTAGGTCTGGAAAAACTCTCAGGTAATAAAAATCTCTCATGAACTGGTTGATGGCTGACGTCATCTGCTACTGCACTTCGAGCCCGGTTAACATTTACCCGGGATTTCTGCAACATGAAGAGAAAGAAATAGTTTTATATCAAAAGAGCTATTTAAAAAATTAGAAATAAGCATCAAACATATGCAACAGTTCTCACTCTCTTGGCTAAAGAGAGGGTGCATAGGAAGATTTAGTGCAGCTTTCCTCCCGATTTCCTAAATTTGGATTTAACCCCAAATATAGAATTTGGGATGTAGGTGTTGTGATTATCTTTGCCCAGGTTCAGTGATGCCTACAGAGTTTAGTAGCCTTATTTAAGAGATATTAAAGGTAAAGGTTCCCCTCACACATAGGTGCT